GTGTCATCCCCACTCTCTCTACCCTCCTTTCCTGTCTGTCTTCAGCTGTCTCTATCGAATAAAGGCAATAAAAGGCCCAAAAAAATTTTCAATAAAATAAATGACCAAAACCAACAATGAATTGATCCTATGAACAAGTATTGTCCGTATATCCAAAGCCTTTGGATAAAAATAGTCCCCAACAAATACAATATTTTCTCCAGTTTGAGCTTAAAACTACTAACAGTTCTCAGCTGTTTTAAGAAATTATTTAGCCTTTCTTGAAATGACAGTATATATTTGGGGACTGTTTTTAAAGATGTACATCTTCAGTAGAGGCTGAGAGCCACAGACAGGGTAGGGAAGTCAAAAGGTATTGAGCGTAAGACAAACAAATTTTTGGTTTTGGTCTTTTCCTTTTTGACAAATGTTGAGTATTGCTAGCATTATTCTTTTTTTTAAATGAGCAGATCAGGATTTTATATTTCATGTTGCAAGAAGATGCTGATCACAACAATAAGTTTAAGTGATCACAACAGTAAGTTTAAGTTGTAAAGAAAATGCAAAGGAGGAATTGTTTAACTACAGATGGGTTTTTCTAATCTCATTTAAACATTCAACATTGATAAATTCCTGATTTTTTTAAACCTAAAACTGACTAAGTTCAAAAGATGGATAAAAAACAAAAACCATTAAATCCCATTAAAAGTAGTCTCAGAAGAGTGGACAGGTGGACTCACTTGAGGTGATGAAAGTCATGGAACTCGGGGGACGGCAGGAAGGGGAGGTGGTATCCACAGTGGGAGATGGTGGTGCTGACCAGAGCCAGGCAGTACCACAGGGTGGTGGTGGTCAGGTGGGAGCCCAGGAGCACCGGTCCGACCGCCACCGGCAGCATGTTGGAGAGCTAACGGCAAAGAGGAAGAACAAAACTGGTTTTAATGACCAATAAATAGCTAGGAAATTCATTCATTCATTCATTCATTCATTCATTCATTAGGATTCACATAAGCTATAACTATTCCTCCTGGTCCACGAACAAAAGAACAACGTTCACACACAACATACAGGAACCATCCACACTAAATCCCAAACCCTCATACCCACTCTCATACCCAAACCTCATACCCACCCGTGTACCCACTCTACAGCAACAATAACAAAGATCAAACTCATTATTTTCCACCCAATTAGACACACATTCAAGTTCATTTTGCAGAACTACATTTAGTTCATCTATAATATAAGCAGACTTATATAATGTTGTGTCATCAGCGTACACCGTCATAACTGCACTATTCAAAACAAAAAGGGGAAAACAAGAAGTGGAGAGGACTGATGCCACTGCCTTCAGGAACCCTACATTCAGAATTTCTTGTGGTTGAAAAACCACCGTTAAAAGTAAACACACTGCATTCTGCACTGAATCCGTATACCCAAGTGTTGAACGGGTCAAACTGTGAACATACAGTAAGACTTGAATGCATCACACTTTCAACATCTGGTTCGAGTTTTAGATGAGCAGTGAATTCAGATTCTTTTTAGGATCAGGTTTTTTCAGATTCCAGATGTAAGTTGGATTTATTTTTGACAGCTACAGCTGGTTTGTGTCTCAATGACTCAACGATGAGAGACTTGCAGACTCCCCCTGCAGACTCTACATAATCCTCCGCACTGGATTGTGGATCAGAGGTATAATTTCTCTTTAAATCATTTCGTGTATTCTCACATTGACAGTGAAAGATCGACCACAACGCGCAGCTCTAGAGAGGTCAACAACCTGACTGAGACTGATAAAAATGAGGTGGTAAGAGGGGAGGGGGAATCACTCACCATATGCTCCAGAGGATGAGCGTAGATGGAGACGACTCCGATGGGAGCGGTCCACTCATGGTGCTGTTTGTGGAAGTGCTTGTAGAGGCTGGGATGATGGAACAGCCTGAGAGACAAGAAGATGAAAATAAATTATTTTGACTGATGATTATTTTATCTTGTTTTATATCTTATGTTTCAGATCTTCTTTACTTTTATTTTTTGTTTTTATTGTAAAGCACATTGTAATATAAATATAATATATGATTTTATTTATAATATAAATAATACATATAAATAAAATCATTATTATTACCATCTTAGATCTTACTTTAGCATGTTAGCATGGTGATGAATGCTTTTACTTGGCTGTCACCTTCATTATTTATTACTTTTTGTATTTATTTTCTAAACCTGATAAAAAAAAAAAAAAGTGTAGTATATATCTTTAATTTTATTTATATTCACACTCTTCACTCTTACCACCAGGTGGCAGTAATGTCCCAGTGTCCCAATGATAACTGAATCTCAAATGAGGAAGGAACAGTGCTCTACTGCTTGTTATTAAAGCTGCATTTCTTGTATGAATATACAAATTAAGTGTATTATTATTAGTATTAGTATTCATATTATTGTGTAGAAAATGGGTTCTGAATGGTTCTGAATCTTTGCACTGACTGGAATCATGTTAATGGGATATATTCTGACATGTCGCAGGTGTAAATAGTAAAAGAAATGACTGATCCAAACCTGTGTGAATAGTAAAACATAACTTCCTCCACAAGGGCAAAGAAAGCGAGCTCCATCAGGGCCCAGTGGAAGGTGGGCAGCTCGGGGCCGCAGGGGTTCCCTCTCAAGCTCATCAGTTGGTAAGCTACCACCACCATGGGCCCAGAGATGAACACCTGGTTGAAGATGACATACTTCACTGCATGGCGAATCTTAGCTGGATCCACCTGGAGGAGAAAGCAGAGAGACACATGTATTTAATTTACATAATATTACATTACATTACATTCACTGTGGGGTCTTACAGTAAGTGCATTCAAAGAGCTAAATGTCATCAAAAATTAAAGAGAAAGAAATGAGTCATGAGGTGTTGTGTATAGATGAAGACTGAAGCTTTAAAAGGTTTTTGACGAGTTTTAAGGCCCTTCTCAAACCCCGTTCTTTATGGGTTTTACTACAGTTTATTTCTTACATTATCTCCTCAATCTTAATTTTCTACAACCTGTATTCTATCATCGTCTTTCTATTTTGACACATTTATAATTCTTGTTTGATACATTTATCCATGTAACAGTTATCTGTGTTATTAAAAATATTACCATTAATAAGTAATTTAAACAAAATATGGGTTTAGTGTTTTAATAGTTCTGCACATGTATTGATGACTACAAGTTATGTCTACCAAGTATTTCAATAGATTGTTTATGGAGCTCAGTCAGTAGATTATAATAGATAACAGAAGATATAACAGGAAAAGACGTGCATGTTTTCAAGTCAGAATCCGTACTGAAACTCATAAAGTGTAAGTTTCTCAACGATCACCTTCACTAAAATGCAGAGAATAGAGAATATCTACTATGTATATCTCCAGTTTGTGTTTTTACTTTGAACCCTGGTTATGGACCTTATCATGATGAGCTTTCGTGTGTGTTGTGTGAGAATGAGTCTGAAGTGTACACAAATGAACTTTTGCACAGTTACAGTACTGTTTCATATTACACATTTACCAAAGTACAGACGCAACAGCAAAACACACAATAGACATTTTGACTTGTCATACTAGAAAAAGCACATTCTCAAACTAATGTCATACGTCTCATTCTGCAGAGTATTTTGGACACTGACATATTATTGGCTCACTGACTCCTCTGTTTGCACAGAGTCACAGGATACTTGGAAAAGTACAGGTGTTACTAATAACATCCCCAATGGCTCTGTACTATTTAAGTGTCCCAGTAAGCATTGACAGTATGATAATTATAAGGACCCTGAAACTGAAGCAGCTAAATGGAATTCAACCATCACTGAATTACACTTCTGCGTACTGGGTGTGACTGTGTCAAAATGTCTTTTGTGGAAAAAGGTCTATTTTTAGTGTCGTTTTTCTTGTACACATACACACACACACACACACACACACACACACGGTAGGCAGTGAGACATTCTGTGCTTGTCTCGACTCGTCCAGAGTGATTTAACCCCTCATTGTGTGTTGTCAGCTTATAATTATATATATATTTATTATTGTTATAAAGCCATCTGAAGACTTGCCAAGGTTCTGACACGCGATCCAAATCATTGCATGTAAGATATTTAGATAGATCGCTTGATAGACACTCTGTGAGACCCTGTGTTGCATTGCAGGCTGTATTGTTGCTTCACATCTGCATGTCCTGGCTTTGTTTATGACCGCTCAGGGGGTTATTCTCGGTCACAAAGCTTCAGTATCTCGGCGACCATGATTACTCAGCAGATTGTCATAGATTATCTCATTCGAGGTAGTATATTATGACTGACATTAGCAAAATAGCAATTCTATTAATGTCACCCAATATATTTAATGTACATATAATAATGATATTTATTTATATAGCAAGGTTGCAAGTTTTGGGTGTGGCAAACAAGATCATTTCCATTTTGTCATCAAGTTGAGTTTTGCATTCAGTCCAGCATTTGCTATCATAAAAGGCAAGCAGAAAGTTGGGTTAGGCTGTTTAGGCAGATTATATTTAGTGATAACCAGACCCAATGACAGCATATGATGGAGAACAGTAACAGACCCAGGACTGGCCCTTGGGGAACACTGCGAGTGAAATAGGAAACAATATGGGGGATTTCCAAAAACAACAGCAAAGCTTCTACTGGACAGATAGGAGCGTAATAAGTTAAGAGCAGACTCTTATAGGCCAACCCAAGTTTGAAGACTCTGTAGACGAATGGTGTAGTCTACTGTATCAAAGGCTGCAGTCAAGTCTAGCAGGAACAGAATGAAGCTTTCAGGTTTGTCTGCAGTACTAAACCACTGACTGTGTATTGTGAGTGTGAGGAGAGTTTCATCTGAACATGATGTCTGTAAGAAGTATAGACTATGGATATAAAGATACATTTTATTCCATCAGTGAACATAAGCTTCCTCTGCTTGTGTCTTGTCATAATCTTTGACAGGTAATCAATAATTTGATAACATTTAGAGAGTAACCTTCCAGCCCTGGTTATCAGTAATGTCAGTGTTTATCTCTCCAGCGTCCATCAACGTCTGTTAATCAAACACAGTGAGAGGACTTTGGTCAGACGGACAGGTGGACGCATCAGATCAGCAACACCAAGGGTCATTTACACCGATCAGCCGTAACATTATGAGCACTGACAGGTGAAGTGAATAACACTGATTATCTGGTTATCATGGTTCCTGTCAGTGGATGTGGATGGCATATATTAGGCAGCAAATGAACATTTAGTTTATTATGGCAGATAAATGCATTCATAAAGAAGGATTTCTCAAAACGTATATGATAATTTAAGACCAAAGCATATTTATAACTATTATTTATTAGGGCCCAAATTGACACAGGAAATAATTATACAAATAAATAAATTAGGTAATAAAATATGAAGAAAACAATAAACTATTATTTCATAAAAAGTATTTAATTCCCATTAACGCATTTATTTATTTGATTTTGGCAATTTTTTGATTTATTCATTTATTTGAAATGCATCATGCCATTTTTCTTAATTTTTATATATAATGATAATTACTTTGATGCCAGTGATGTGACCATCACTGTATTTTCCAGTAATGTCTAAAAGATCGTTCTCTATTAAAAGATTTATCAACCAATCGATGAAGCTAATCTCAATGTTTTGTTGTCAAACGGGACAAATTTATATCAATTTATTTATTAACTGATGCTCAGTTTAACATGGCAGGTAAGATTATATGCATTTATTAGATGCATTGAGGTTTAAAGGGGCCATAAAATGATCAATAGAAGCAGTTCACGTAGTAACAATATAGGAGGAGTTAGAGGTAGAAGTTGTGTTGGTATCTCATTGGTATCCAATGTAAGATTCCTAGTAGTAGTAACAGCAGTAGAGGCACTAGTAGTAGAACAGTAGTACTACTGGTGGTATTAATAGGAAGATCATTTGCAGATACTAATCTGGGGATAAGAAAGAAATAACTGAAACTTAAAATCCTTCCTTATGAAATGATACCGGAGGAGATACTGTAGCACATTTAATACAGAACATACCGGGTTATTCCTGTCCACCTGGATGCGGTAGCGAGTGATAAAGGAGGGTTTACCAGTGGTGTCCACCAACAGCAGCAGAGCATTCGACGCCCAGAACGACAGAGTGGGGAAAAACATTGTCCCTGTTGAGAAAAACAAGGTCATAGTCAGAGAGGGAGAACATGACAGCCTCTGATGTGGGCCTGAATATTTCAGTGAAGGCCAAAAACAATCTTGAAAATGAACCAGAGCTTGAGCTAAAGTCAAGTAACAATTTGTCCTGATAAATGCTGCAAACAACTTGCTGATGTTTTTAAGGCCCGGCCTGCAGCATTAAATTTTGGAGCCCACTATAAGACCAAGATGGATTTTGATTTTGATTTTGATCTGTGGTAATTAACATTATGACAGATATCAAACAGGATTGCTCCATGTGAAGTGATTTTTTTATGGCACAGTGTATGACTTTCTCTGAGCTTTATTGATTCACCTTAATGCATTACATGAAACCACTTTGGAAAAATGCCTGCAAGCACATAACGTCCTACATAGATAATATCTGATTGAGGATACCTTACAATGTACAAAACAGACGGGCCAGTTCATGACACAACAACAACAACATGATGGCTGCATCATAAAAGAGTGCAAGTCGACACCAGAGCTCATGACTTGATATGCAAAACCGAACAACTGCTCTCAAGGCTACGCAAACAGTATTTCCTCTGTGGCTGGCACTAAGAAAAGTTTTCTTTCATGCCACCATTATTCTGAAAACAAAGCCTTGTTTGTGTCTCAGGGGAGATGATATCATGTGTGTAATTTAATTTAACACTACATTAGTAAATGTGATGTAAATGTCATAGTACTAATGTGAATGGTCATCCTAGCTGTGAAAAGTCAGATTCTAAAATGTTAGAACAGGAAGAAAAGAAGGGTTAGAGAGCTAAATAGATGCATGAAGTCTCCTATTCCCAAGTGTTTCACAACAACACAAAGTGTATAATGAAACAACGCAGGACATTCAAGCCGCTATCAAGAAGGACACAGATCGTTGTGTTCGATTTGGTGCGACAACAGGCCACTCTGTTATGAACTGTCAATAACAGCCTGTTGGTTGCAACAACAAAAAAAAAAAACACTAACCAGTTGTTATTCCTTACCGAAGTAGAACAAAGCAGCTTCATGACCCTCAAAATTCAAGTACAGCTTGGTCCACAAGTTCTGCCAGAAATCTCCTGAAGCTCCCCAGAATCTCTGCAGGTGCCTGGAGGAGGAATTGTCAATAATTGATTATTATTATTATTATTGCGCTTTTTTTTGCTGGAGAACTCAGCCCACTCTCCCACAGACTCTCAGGCTCTGACACTTGCTAGAAAATAAGTTTGGGAGGGTTCGGAGCCGCCTAGCAACCACCTAATAATGCTATACTAAGCTTGACACACCCGCCTTGTCAATACCCGTCCACAACAAAACGCCCGGACAACAATAGGATCTACCTAAAATAAACTTAGTGACACCCTAGCTACGTCCCATCACGTCATGCCTGTCCATTGTCCTGTAATAATCCTTTCCAATCTGAACCCACAACATTTTGAGACCTGATCTAAACGAGATCCGAGCACCCTGTCCATATATGCCCACAGATAATTAGACCTGATTCAAAATGCGTTCAACCCGGACAGATCCTAAAAGAGAGGGAGAACGCAGGCAGTAGAAGGTTTTATTTTCAACTGCTTGTTCATTGATAGTGCATCTTGCTGCTGCCTGTAACAAATTACTGATTTATAATAATTAGTTTCTTTGCTTCAAAGACTCATTTTTAGAACCAATTTAGAAATATAACAAATCCTATTTTCATCTCATGCGCCAGCAATAAAGCATTCTGTAGCCAACTGGGTGAGAGAACATAAGTAATTTAAGCATTCATTTTTAATTTTCTTCTGTGGTGATTATGAAGTATAATTTGGACGCCAACAGACTGCCTATCCAGTCCCACTTTGCACTGTCCTGACGCCTCCCATCCAGTTCTCTTCTCTTCTGTTTACTTCCTCGTCCTGCCTATATTTGCCCTTGTTTGCCGTGTATCAACTACCCATAATTACTCCTCGGGTTCACTGATTTGTTGCATTGTAAGACTGTAACTTGTGGGGAAATCCTACCATGTCAGCGAGTTGCCAAATGCAGCCAAGAATAAGATTCCAGATCCGATGACAAACGCAGCTTTCTTCACAGAGTCCCACAGTCCTCCAGGGCCCTCCTGCACAGACGAAAAGCAACATTTGTGTATGAACATATCTGTTTCACTCTAATGAAACCGTTCAATCTCATGATATTGAGCCAAATCAGAAACGTCTTATGGTGTAGAAATGTCTCTACAACAACAGTGAGAGTGTTACTGAAACATTCATAAGAGGATGAACACTGTGGCTTCTTAGGTCAAGTCAGCTGTAAGCGAAACACTGATATACAGAGACAAAGAACACTTTGAATGGCTAATATTTTCATAAGGGTGAGACCTTTAGCACCATGGGACTGCATAGAGATAATATGCAATAATGGAGAAACTGAGACTAAAAAGCAAAATAAATCAGGCTGCAGTAGAGAAACAGTAATGTGACTCTGAATCCTTCATGTGGATGTTAGCACAATGAAAATAATACACTAGGCTTTACAGTTTCACACGTTTGCTTTCATTACAACCTAAAAAATACACTTAAATACAAATGTGGGGAGCGAGGTGTACTGAAATGCAGCAGAATGATAATAAATAAATAAAACTGTGGGTGTGTGCAAGAGGTTTGATCTTTATCAGCATCAAAAGCTGTTCAAAGGAGTGGAGTCCTCATGGTCTGTCAGCCCTGTCTGCAGTGCTACATATTTCAAATATGAATGCAGACAGGGCTGACCAGTACTTTAATCTCAGATTAAGTTTTTTTTTAACCTTTAGGACATGCAATGTGTATGCATTTAGTGTGACCTGAACATATTTAACAGGTTTTGTGTCACCTCCAGTTTTGCAGATAGATGAATTTGCTCTTGGCTGCAGATGATCCAGACACAAGTATATCTTTTATCTTGAATAACTAAATATATAAAAGTGCATTCAGTAAAAGCAAAGTCTGAGCCAGCCCCACTGAGAGAAAACTAGATCAGTTCACTCAGCGGGAATTAAGTCGGGGGATTGATGTCACATTTAGCCGACCTTCTAAAATGCCAGCTTTTACCCAGGCTGCCCCTTGGCACAGCCATGGCAACAGTGGGAACAATGTTACACAAATGTCATGCTGTTCTTAGTACTCAGCGGTCTGTTCGGGTTAAACTATGCAATGAAACAATCAGATCTTACAGATACGAATACACTGATGCATCCTTTTTACTACCAACAACAACAACAACGGTCACCTCCCTGTCACAGATCAAAACAGTCCATAACATTTCTCACGATCACGTACACACTGTAATCCACTATTTTAGATCCTCCTTTTGTTCTCTGCAGAGCTCCATTAAATCGTGTAGGGGGGAGAAAAATGCAACTTGTCAGGTCGAGCTGGTCCCAGAGAACAGCATTGCAAACAGGAAAAGGCTCATGGAGTCAACAGTTATAGTTAAAGTTATATATATATATATAATAGATCACCTTTTAGTTTACCGTTGCAACATTTTACATTTTCTTTGACGCTAACATGAGTGATGACTGATAGTATGATTGTTATGATTCATGAAAAACTATCAACCATATGGCCATACAGACACTACATAACACTACACAACTACATAACAACATCACCCCTCGCTCACAGATCTGCATCTAAATTCTGAAGATGTGCCAATTTGTGCTGATTTAATTTTTTATCATTTTCACATCCAAAAACATACAAAGATTCTGTTTCCTGTGAGGATTTCACCTCTGATGCAGCAATTTAAAGATTTATGAAACTGATTAAACTAGCTAATGAACTTTAGAGGAGGATTTGTAGCTCCATGAAGCATCGGGTATCTTCAAGATGAATAGAATATAAATAAATATATGATATGATAAATATGATATGAACTAGTGGTGGTCAGAAACTACTTACTGCACAAAACCTGCTTTTTATGAGATGCCACAAAGGACTGGAACAAATATTATTGCTTTTCCATTTTTCAAAGTAAAAATCAACCTCCACCCAAAGAGTGAGAACAGTGATCCAACAGATCAAACCAGAAAGGCAAGAAAATAAATCATAGATCGTCTAAAAGGATCAATCTTTAGTAGTTTATTATGGTAATAGCAGAGTATTTGGTTGTAACGGTGTTGTGTTCTTACCTGTCTGCTACTGTTGCTGCCGCTTGTTGTGGCAGCACCCCTCGTGCCTGTAAACACAATAATAAATAAACTGTAAACTGTTTATTTTTTATGTTCCAGGTAGAATTAGAACAGATTCATAAATACAATATGTATTTAAGGGGTTAATTTCATACATTGTTTACGAATAAAAAAAAATAGAAAAATGAGTGACAGTGGAAGATTAAAAAGGAAATGTTCTGCTGTATATGTAAAAAAAAAGGAAGATGGCCTAATCCCAACTTGCTTTCAAAATAATAGTGGGTTTAAAAATCCGGGCTTTTATTTATTTATTTTGTGATCGACTTTTTGTTTCTTTTTGTGTTAATTTTTTCCAGTGATAATACATTCATATCTAATAAAGTACACTAATAAAACACAGACATGGCCTAATATACCGAACCTACACTGACTAGAAGTAATTTTGTCTGAGTCTAAAACATTCTAAACATCTCAAGAGTGCTTTTATCTTTTTATGCTACAATAATCATCTGAGTACTGTGTAGCCTGGTTCAAAATTTACAGCTGGAGGATTATACTGGAGGATAATCCTATTATAATCCATCCTTCTTACAGTGAGCACTTTTTCAGCTAAATTCTTGGGAATAACAACCTGCTCCACATTGCTCTGTCTCTCTCTTTGTGCTTCAGCACAAAATAGAAAGTTTAGGGACAGAAAAGAACAAAAATCATCCAAAAGAAGGCTACACGTATAACACTCAAATTATATTAAAGTCCTCCTTAACTCAAAAATGTGTTTTTCATGCTTCACTGTGCAGAATGATGAACAGTATGTGCAGAGTTTGACACTAGGGGCTGAAGGGGGAAAGTTATTCTGTGATCAACACAGTTTAATATACAAGATGATTTTGTAACATCACAACTAGTGTTGAAGCCAATCATGAACTTGAAACCGGTTTACACTAAAAAACAACTTTTTAGTGAACTAATAGAAACCTTGTGTCTAGTAGTTACATTTTTAAATGAAAAAATATATTTTTGGAGGACAAACTAACTTTTTTTAATGAAAAAACAACCCATCTTATAGACAGAAATTATCATTAAAACATCTTCTAGGAATATTATAGCTGGTGCTTAAACATTAATTAATAATTATTTTAGACAATCACCAAGTTACAACTTCAGAAATACAAAGAATATTGTGATTTCTTTTAGTATGACTTTAGTATGATTATTTCCTGTCGATTTGAATAGGCCTGCATAGGAAAAACAACTGAGATCAGAGTCTGGGCTTTGAAAAACGTCCCTATTTTAATCAAAGTGAAAATAAACCTAATACTTAAAACAATACTGTCACGCAGCCACATTCATGCAACACTTAATACAGCCTAACAAGGTTATCATAGATTATTGATTGGCTCCTCTTGCAAGAAAACACACTGGTAAACAGCTTACATACAGACTTTTAACTTTTCAACAGCCCAAAGGGATATAATTAGTCTTTGTACCTGGACCATTAATACTGTCACACAACTTTAAAAGACTCCCTCGACATGTTAAAGGTGAAATAAAGCACACTCACCTCTGACTCTCGTCTCCACCGTCATGTCTCCTGTGGGTTTCTCGCCTGTGTTGCTCCTGCAGCCTTTCAACATGCACTCAAACCAACCCCTGTATTTACAACAGCGCTCCACCTCTGATTGGCTGATTACCGCTCAGCTGACTCAAGCCCTACCAGGAAGTAGCGGCAACTGTCTGTGTGATGTGAGGATGTGTTTGTTTTTTTCACCCCCGCCGACAATTATTGAGGTGAAGGTTGAAAACTCAGCATGGAGGGGGGGCACTGCGCTGGTTTTATGTAGCATTATGAGGGGGAAATGAGGTTTGAGTAGTAGGAAAAGAGTATAAGACAGCATCCATTGCAGGTATTATTAAGTTTGATCTGGTTTTAAGGAAACTGTCAAAGTCATTTTCACTATTTTTGACTTCTACACCAAAACTGTTCATAAAATTATGCCCAAGAAGACTAGAATCTTTATTTTTGATAAAATGCTGCAGCCATAAATAAGACGAGTATATGTATGCATACTGTGATCCTTTTTATTTACAAAAGATTGATTTAAAAGTAGTGACAAGTCTTACAAACGTGCAGGATAAGGTCTGTCTGCACATTACAAATGGAATAACCTTTCATTTATAAGTTTCTCACAGTTTATCTCTCTAATTAAAATCTGTCATTTATTTATTCATTTTAAACTCTTATGTGTCATACTACTAGTACTTATCTAAGTGAGTATAAATATATATGTATATACTTGTTTTTTTCCCCAACCTTAGAAGATAAGTCCCTCAAAAGGCAAAGGTTTTGATCTTTTCATAGGATTTGTTGACAACACTAACATTATTCCCAGATTTATCCTTTAAAGCTTTTTAAAGAGCATCTTTGTTCCATATTTAGCTTCCTTCTGCCCTTTCCTCATGTCTTTAGTGTGTTGTTGGCCCACTGAGGTTGAACTGAACCAGTGAAATGATTACTGTCTCCAGAGAAGCTCTTCCTCCAAAACATGTTTGTGCACATCTCCCTCGTGCTGTTTGGTAACATTAACAACCGTACGGCCACAGCAGAGGATATTGATGACCCCAGGCTGTACACAGACACATTCTGTCATTAGTGATATCCCCTTCAGCTATCTTAACACTCCCCGACCCAGATAACCTCCAGGCCTATGTCTGCTGCTCCAACATGTGGCTCCACAATCACTCATTAATATCGTACAGGGGGATCAGTCCACTATGCTCATTATGTAAAATGTGTATGACTTTGAACACTGGGGATCGGACTGCATTTAATAAATGGAGAGAGGGAATTAAAGTACACACAGACTTCTATCTTCTTTCTTTATTGCCTGAAACATTAAATTGTTTCTATATTTAGTAGATTTATGACACATCTTATGACACATGCTGTACAAATAAAATTGATTCATATCAAAGGCTAGTTGTTGTATGTCACAGCAGCTAAATATCACATTAATGTTGAATCTGTAGCCACTATAGTCTGCACAGATACTGAACAGATACTGTTTAATTGAGGCATAACTCTGTGATAGTAATTTTTACTTCTTTACCAGGGTTTTGATCTATTCTTAGATTATCCAGGAGGTGGCGCCAAACTGAGCTACACTGAATTTTATTTTAAAGTTTACTGTGTAATCATGTTTTTATTTTACATTAATTAGATTTATTTATTCTGTTTGTTCTCTCTATGTATTGATTTTTTCTGTTATGATTTAAATTTTATGGCAGTGAGGAAGGACAAGCAAACTAGACATTTTGTTGTAGGCTACAATACATCTCTTTTTTATGTTAATAAACTGTAAAAATAAAGCTTTTGATTTTAATTAATGGCAATATTGTTTCCAATATGCAAGAGGAAAAAAACATACTCAAGTATATAACAAAAAAAGCCACTTTGAATGTTTTTACATACTGAGCTGATGAAAAACCAGGTGTACAATTAACTTTCATATTCTTGATTAAACTTGACATTGTAAGACAATATTTATCATTTGATATTTGAAATGATGAATTTATCTTTTTCTTGTTCTTTTTCTTACTTAAGTTCACAGTCTTTAGTTTGATTCCTATTTAGTTCAGTAGTGCAATGCAACTGAGTTTAATTTCGAGGTACTTGTACTTTACTTATTATTATTACTTTAAATTTATTATTTTATTTCTTCTCATGCTAATTTATACATCTACTCCACTAGCAAAATTTGTTTTACTCCACCCTATTATTTAACGGCTTTAGTTATTTTACAAATTAAGATTTTGCAAACAAAAAATATGAAGATACTCTAAAATATAATTTATAAAGTAATTTTTCATGTAAAAACATTTCATTTTTATAGTCTGGCTTCACAAATGGGAGGATTTGCTGCATTTCCTTTAAATTATTTTAATAATTTATAAATAATTTCAATTTAATTTTAATATTGATTGTACCAAACAAGCATTGTGGAGGTGTCACTTTGAGTTCTAGGTAATTGTGAGAGCATTTCTCAGTCAATTAATGGAGAAAATAATAATAGAAGATTACTCCATAGTGATAATAAAAGTTAAAAAATTAGTTGCAGTCCAATACAAAATAGTTTAAAATTTGCTCCACCTCAACCAACTACAACAGTAAAATCCTGCTTTAATGCATAAGTAATGGGAATGCAAGAATGTAATAGTATATCAGTCACAATCTGCATTGAGCACTTTTACTTTTAATACTTTAAGTACGTTGACCTGATTACATTTACTTAAGTAACTTAAGTATTTTTTACAGTACAGTACAGTATTCATACTTTCACTGAAGTAAAGGATCTGAATACTTCCTCCACCACTGATTGTATTTACAGTTTTATTGGTGTCAACTGATCTCATGAAACTGGATAAACCTGTGTAGTCTGTAGTCCTCCTGCATGCAGTGGTGTGTTAATAGCTCAGGTCTGACCTCTGGTGTAAAGCCGCCGCCATTGCATCAGTGAGCTGAAGGGTTTTGGCACACATCTGTCACATGAAGATCCACTAGACTGTTTGGATTCAGATGACCCATTTTGTAATTTGGACGCTTGTGTGTGGACTTTTCAGGATTTGGAATTTAATAAAAGACCTTTATTTCTATGTGGTCATGCAGTAAAGTTAGAATAAATGATTACGAGGAGGCGACTTATTTGATCTTCCTTAGAATTAAACCTGACATTATAATTTGCTAATTCTAGTTTTATTGATTTACTGAATGTGTGGCACATCATGAAAGTTAAATATTAAAGTTGTCTTCAGTGGTTGGTTGGTTTTATATTTTTATAATTATCAACAAATTATCATCAAACAATGCAACAATATTGCTCTTTTATGTGTTTTTAATTGCAGTAACAATAGAGTTGTACTGATTCATACAGATAATGTAAATAAGCTAGTAGTTTAACTACATTTTGCAACAGTTATTGGTGGATCAACTACTTTCATATTTGCATTATAAATCCAGGAGTTAAATTACTTTGCCTATGTTTGTGTAATGACTTCTAAAACTTAAAAAAGATTTTGTCTTATTTTTATTTTACTATTGGCTTGCTACTGTAATTGAACCCTCTTTGATTAGCCCCATATTATTTTTCTCTCACCCTGACTGTGAGGGCATGCCCAGGCAATGTACTGCTCAGGCAGTCCCCCCTCCACACACACTTGCCCACACAGCACCAGCGTCATTATGGATAAACCTCCCCAATCTCAGCCTGATGAAGTATTACCATGGCCATACTTAAACAAATACACGACTAGCTCAACCGACAAAACCTATGTTTTTACTGATGAGTTATACTGGCACATTCCATATGAATAGTGAAGTACTGTACTGGTTTATGAACAAATAGGCACTTTTTGCAGTGGCATGGGACTTTTTTTGTATTATATTTTGTTATAATTCTGTTGTCAATTTAATATTTTTTTAGTTTGAACTACTTTTTCTAAGAAGCTATGCTTTAAAAGTAGCTGGTTGTTAGTAGCACAAACCATTTATTGGTTTTGGTTGGTCAACACAGGATTTGTTGATAAAAGGCCTGAAGATAATTTGACATGTCACATTAGGAAAAGTACAGGCGTAAATAATAAAATGAATGGCTGAATTCCATTTAGCTGCTTTAGTTTCACTGCTATATTGTTATGATTTACAGGGACACTTGACTAGAACAGAAAAATTGTTAATGTTTTTAGTAACAAGCATCTATCTTGTGACAGAGGAGTCAGTAGAGCTTATGTAAGGGCCAAATATACTAAAACAGACATAAGAAATTAGTTTGATAAGGTATTTAATCTTGGGTCAGAGAGTTAATGTATTTAAATACTTGAGAGAAACTTGATAAAAAAAGAATCTATATTTTAAATTAACTGATGGATTTATTTTGATTAAGAGGAAGAACTAACTCCGATCCACACCCCAGCACAGTAGGTGGCAAAACATCTTAACATCTGTGGCCACGTCGCTAGGAACACCTTGCTGATGCCCTGACCCTATTAGAGAAACCAATACCTGCAAAGTGGCAACAGCAGGACCAGGCACAGGTCAAATGGAAAGGGTTTACCCATGTGAGATACAAGCCAATCACAGTCTTGATAATCCAATTAAATCCAATCACACCCCTGCCCTCAAATTTAGGATTTATTGACCACATTTCTGAGAACAAAGTGGACCAATGACTACCTTAATCTTTGCTCTCTGTGTAATGATCAAATTGAAAATAGACAAAAGCTTAGACTATCTCCACCAATGACTATCCTGCAACACTGCACTAAATGTGTACACGTGTATCATCGTATTGTGTGTTGGTCAGGTCAAATTGCACCATTTTGTGACACAAGTGACACTTTTAAAAATAAACTTAAAAAAACTTTACCTGCTGCTGATCAGACTTGTTTTGGCTTAAAATCAATTAAATTAGTTCATTCAAAGGTTACCTGTTGCCTTATTTAAGATTGGATACATCATTTGGGATTTTATTAATTAATTTACTTGATTTCATTAAACCTACAGCATGTGTTTTCTCTCCCACACGGCCCATTAGGTTTTTATTATAGGCCACAGGTGTTCTGTGTTGTGAATTGGAGGTAAGGAAGGTCCTCTGTAAATGTTTGACGTCTTGGTGCACATTCGCTCTATCTATTGTTTATATAATTTATTTGTTATGTTAAGGCTAAAATACACAATGTTTTTATTAATACATCATTCTTATCAAACTGTTGGTCCACCACTGAAATATCTAATCAATTATTAGATGGACTCTAGCTAGAGGATGAATCCTTATGACTTCAGTGATCTGGTGACTTTTTATTCACTGTTAACTAAATTAAGTTAAAAATAACATTCTTGACCAAGTAGCTTTAGTAATTTTAAGTGAGAATTACTTAATTTTGTTATTTTTATTTGTGCTGTGCAAACAAAATATCAGGAATGTTTTCTGTAAACTACAAAACGAAGTTAGTGTCACTTAGAATAACTTAAAAGCGGCTTAATCGATAATTTAAACCTAATTTAACCTAAAAAACTGAGTTTGTGTTACTTTAAAAAATGTATATGTATGTAAACAATTGTTTGAGTTAAATTACTGAATTTACTCCAGTCTCTCTACTTTACGTATAATGAACTGTAAGGTTGATAAGCCGCAATTTTTCACCTTTTTTGGTCGTATGAATTTCTAATTGAGTCTTTCCATAGAAACTCGTATTACTATTGCGCCGCCTCTTAGCATTCATTCTGAACACATAGTTAGCATTTTATATCAAGCGATAACCACCGTGGCTGGAAAACGAAGCTAAAAGGGAAGTAAGACAAACTGCAGTTCTTGAATTGTCACTTGAAGGCTGGCTCCATAAAGGCCACATATGAAGAATGCCCCAACTTTAACAGCATCCAATCAATCCAACTTTATTTGTCAAGCCTTTAAAACAACCAAAGTTGGACAAAGTGCTGTACAGAAGGAAAAAAAAGAAGACATCATAGATAAAAGACATAACAGCTCACATGGGGCACAAAATCATTAAAATTACAACAATTATTAAAAGACATAAAAACATCGAGTAATAAATAATAGCCACGAATAAAAAGAAATTAAATCAGTAAATATAAGGTCGACACTTACTTAGGTTCAAAAGCCACGAGAAAAAGAAATGGATTTTAAGAGGGATTTGAAAAACAGACAGGAGAAAGAGGCGTGTTTTAACGTGCAAGAAGCGAGCAGAAATAAATAGTTTTTTACAGCCTCATTTTAAAAAAACAATTTCAGATTCTTAAATGGCTGAATTTACTCATCATGACAACTGGTACAGGTACATTTTCCATATAACATCTTAAAGTTTTAAGGCTTTTAAGTTAGCATGTGTTATGAATAATTAAGGATGACCTCTATGAACACAGGTGGTTATTTCAGTATCCGGGCCTTCATCCACCTCGCCTCAGCTCCACGTCTGTGCTCATTTGTGTAAGATGGACGACTTCAGAGCCGACCACGCTTTGAGGTTCATAATGGCTTCTTCAGAAACCATCATAGAGACTAAGTCCATTTTTAATTACATTAATTGCCTTGATACTGTTTTTTTTTTTTTAAATTGAATGCTTGATGCCAGTCTTGTAAAAATGTATGCATTCAAACAGGGATTTTCGGGGGGTGGTGAACATACAGGGGACTATTTTATACAAAAGGTGCCAGAAATTAGTGACACCCTGGGTTTTGAGAGTCTTCAATCGTAACAGTAATTTACGCTATTTATACTGTGAGTACTGGAGAGCATCGATCTGCCTCGGGCAAACAGTCAGCATTTCATCTCAGACCAAGTGTTTTCCTGCCTCCACATTAAAAAGAGTGCAAAGGGTTAAAGATCATCTCGGCAGCCAGTCTTTGCTCGCTCTCTCCAGTTGCATCCGCTCTGCGGGGCAGCGCTGGCTTCGCTCCGATATTTTCAACTCGCTGTGCGATTGTGGGAGTCCAGGACTCTGCCCAGGCTTGTTACCGGAGAAACCGGAGACATTTTTTTTCCTCCGCGTGCCCTGTTTTTTCTTGTAAGTAATCCCGCCGGGGTTTTGCACGCCGTCCGCCGTCGAGCGCGGTCGCTTCTCGTCGGCCGAGTCGGTGTGCGCTCGCCGGACTCGGCCGACGGCGTTGCCATTTGGCGCTTTTGCCTGGCAATGGAGGCCGACAGCGGAGAGCTGGAGCTGACAGAGCTCAGGGAGGTGGAGAGAAGGGGGGGATAGGAGGAGCGGGCAGCTGCCGCCGCTCTCCGGCGGAGGGGTTTATTTCCACAACGAGGAAAAAGCTCGCTGAGCTGAACCGGAAAATGTCCTCCGGTCGCCTGACAGCTCGATTTGAAGCATTAGTTGAGTGTCCCAGTGTGTGGATGAAATAAATGTGCATGCGGAAATCGGTTGTTTTTGTCAGTGGCCAGCAGAAAGAAAATGCCCAGTGTGGCGGTTAAACCCACCTACCCACACCTGACCGGAGTGGAGAAATGCCGCAGATGTTGTGTCCGCTATATCTGCTGCTCAATAACGTTGTAATTGCCGGCGTTATGTTTGATATGATCTGATGTGTCGTGTGTTGTGTGAAATATTTGAATTTCCAGCAGGTTTTAAAGAAGCAGTCTGGCCTTTGGCTGGCTAATTGATTCAGTTACAGACAGCTAATTGGTGTTTGCAGCTGGTACAATGAGAGGGACTTCAATCATAATCAGTATTTTTGCATGAATGTGTCTTATATTGTATATAATAATATTAAGAGTTTTTTTTATTAGAGTTGAACTAAAAACATAATATGCATATTTTAGATTTTAATATTTGACCATGTCCTGGTTGCTAATGTCATTTGTTATTAATACAATATCCCTTTGCAGTAGTGACCAGACAGCAGTAGGGATGATACACAATATAATCGCATATCGTAATTAAATAAACATATGTTTATCTTGGTGAATATTCAGTATCGTAATTAGGGGTGCACAGTTAATCCAAATTAATTTTCTTAACAACAATCTTTTGATAAACAGCATTATATGAAACAAAAATCTACAAATCTTGTTCTCCAGATATGTAAGAAAGTATGTTTGTTTGTTTGTTACAGACCCCAACAAGTGTCTCATCATTATGGTCTGAATAGTGTCGTTCGGTGAAAAAACAAAAATTATGATGCAAAAGTGGATCATTCCTGCTAATCGTGAATCATATTACCATATCGTGCAGCCCTAATCCTGGTAATCGTGAATATCCTCATATGGCTTGACTTGAAACAGCTGTCTAGCTCGCCAGCATAAAGTTCGATGTAGATTTCCTGATTTATTTTGAACAACATGATATTTTCATATCGTCCCTCGCCTAGATGTGATCCTACAGCTAGTGTGACATTAAGGCTTCTATTATCTAAACAAAACACACGAAAAGCCTCATGTGGCTCTTTGGTAATTAATATATCTAAAATACTCAAATCTGTTTAAGTAAGATGTATTGGTATCTTATTCAGGAGTTGCTCTAAGTGTGTTTTCAAAGTATTTAGGAGACAGATTCCAGCCTTTCATGTCACCCTGACAAGAATGTAACCTGTCAGTGTTTCAGCAAAGAAAGACATCCTGAAAGTCCAATTTTCAGATGTTTTTCTGTGTCAGAATTGAACTACTGGGACCTGTGAGAGCCCATCGCTTGTTGCAGACAGTTGATTTATTGTTGATCATCACTTCCTGCGGGAGACGTGTCCTAACATTACACTGGGGTTTCATATGGGAAAGTCTGCAGTCTGGAAAAGCTTTTTCTCTATTTCAGCCTCAGTTAGTGATTTCAACCAGTAAGATGAGTGTATGTTTTTACCACTGGCCAACATATATTTAAGAAAGAAGCTTTACGCTGTCCTGTACTGTGTTACTGCCTGTGTATCCTGCCTGATGTGTCCCTGCAGAGCCTGACACTGGTAGCGGTCTCGGCACCATGTCCAGCCGAGGAGGAAAGAAGAAGTCGACCAAGACGTCCCGGTCAACCAAGGCCGGGGTCATCTTCCCCGTGGGACGCATGCTGCGCTACATTAAGAGGGGCCTGCCCAAATACCGCATTGGAGTGGGAGCACCCGTCTACCTCGCTGCTGTCCTCGAGTATCTTACTGGTGAGATTTATTTTTGGAGAGGAGGGAATGATGAAATATTAAAAATACAGACGGCAGCTTATCTATATACTACAGATGTTTTACTGTCGACTTACAGAAACTTTATATTGTGATATCTACTCAGAACCCAGGCGGAAAGTAATGCAAATAAATGAGGCAGCTGCTTGCAATGACGACCGTCAGCTTCTGCTTTGAGATAGGAGAGTTTGTGGATACTGATGAGGAAGCATTTTAAAGCTGTACATATATTCAGAGACCTGATTTGTCTGACCTCCTGGTATTTGCTAAAAAAGGTTGAGGGGTTACATTTAAACGGCAGTCCAGTTGGGGACATTTACTCCATTCTCATTCTCATGAAAGTTAGTCTATTATCGTTAAGTGAGTTTACCTAAACATTCAGAGACATTAACTGATTTTCTAAACCGCTCGTGCTCTACAGTATATCTTTTTTGTACCCTTGTAGCGGAGATCTTGGAGTTGGCAGGCAATGCAGCCAGAGACAACAAGAAGGGCCGCGTCACACCACGACACATCCTGCTGGCCATCGCCAACGATGAGGAGTTGAACCAGGTCAGCAGCGTGTAAACTTGATATTATGTCATGTTTATTTTAAAGTAATCCAATCTGCGTAATCTATTCTGTTTCTGTGCAGTGTGGGGCTGTGTGAACTCCTGTTTTTTTTTTAACCTTTATCCTCCTGTCTCAGTTGCTGAAAGGTGTGACTATCGCAGCAGGTGGAGTGCTGCCCAACATTCACCCAGAGCTGCTGGCTAAGAAGAGAGGAGCAAAAGGAAAACTGGAGACACCCGTTTCACCCGCCCCTGAGAAGAAACCCAAGCCGGTCAAAAAATCAGCCAGCAAGAAAATGAGTGGGAAAAAGGGAGGAGGGAAGGCTAAGGTACTGCTCCACAAACCTGATGATTGTGGTCAACACTGAATGTAATTGTAGTTGTTGTTGTGGTACACTGATTTATAAGCGTGCCATGTACAAATTAATATCACAAAAACAAACTGAAACGATCAAAAATGATTCAGTGAGAACATGAGATGGACAAGAGAGAAATGAGAAATATAGAAAGATAAATGTTGATATCGATCATTTTCTCAAACTAACTTAACAAGATAGAAGATCTGGACTGCTCATATATCAGCTATTGATCCATTATCCAGAACCAAACAGCACAGCTCCGAGACTAGATGGTGTTGTAGTAAAAGCAGTGTCACTGTAACCGACCCTGACCTCTCGCATCCCTCCACTGAAAACAACGTTCTTATAGAGGACAACAAAGTGTCACATAGTGTCAACGTCTGTGTCCTCAACAGAAGCAGGGTGAGGTGAGCAAGGCGGCGTCAGCAGACAGCACCACAGAGGGATCTCCCGTTGACAGCTTCACCGTGCTGTCCACCAAGAGCCTCTTCCTGGGTCAGAAGGTCAGTTTTCTGCCTGTAGAAATATACCAACCCCACACAGGTCTAAGCTGAATATATAATAAACAGATGAGTCTCTATTGAATGATTGAAGTTCGGGATGAACGGACACCTAATGCACGCCAGGCTAAAATAAGGCTTATAAAAAATGACTTGAAATGTGTACAAATGGCTGTGAAAGGAGACTCTTGCTCTAAAATGTATATTATATTTCATATTTTGGAAGTCAAAGGAATGAGACACAGTTTTATGTCTTTTCATGGAGATAACTAGATATCTCATTCATGATGAGCAACCAGATTAGTGCCTAGGAAAACTATAAAACAGTATGTTTTGTATTTTGCTCAGCCACAGGATTTCTTATTAAACGCCTGCAGAGCTAATAGTACAAACTCCTTTTATCTTTACTTGCTCATCATAACTGAACAAGGTGAAATCAATCCAAGATGATGTGATAATGTTTTCTGAATTAGATATCTGGTCTCATAGCAAGAAAGCTGTTTGTGATATTTTGCTCTATAAATGTAAGTTTCCATCCCGCTGTACTTCCTAACAGGTCTGCTATAGTTCACCAGACTTCATATAAGAGCTTAAACTGCTACACAACAGAGCAGTGCGCTAAGCTTAAAGTGTTATAGTGGCAACCGTGAATGCTGGGTTAACTGCTCGTCCTCTTTATCTCAGATCTGCCTGATCTGTTAGCTCCCCTCGCTTCGGTCCTGCTGAGCACAAAAAATCTTCTTTTTAACCCCTTTTTATTGAACTGAAACATGGAAGTAAATTTGCCTGAAAGTCTCATCTAAGCCCTCTCAAAAAAAAAAAAAAAAAAGATCAAGCTTTAAGATCATGAAGATCAGAAGCTTATAAAAATAGATTTGAGTTTGAAAAACATTAAAGGCAGGGAACGACATTGGGAGTAAGACAATGAATGAGTCAAGAATGATGCAAGGAGTGTCACTGATCCCCCATGTTCTCTAATTTTAAACTGATAATAAATGATGGTAATCGCTGATTTGTTATGATTTTGGCTCCTGTGCTCACTCTTTTGTGCTAAACAAAGTACAATGTGACGTGTGGAGCAGTATCATTTGAACAGCGTAATCTGTGTAATCTGTTTTTGCCTCTCAAAGCTCTTGTGGGTAATGTAGTACAACAGAGAACAAAGAGGATCGGATTGACTAATCGTGTCAACAGGAATGTAATTTGTAGTTGTTTTACAATCGGCTGCTGAGTCATGAAAACTCTCTATTACACTGTTAAAGCACGGTGGAAGAAAAATTAAATGCTCTCTGTAGAGGAGGAAATGAGGGGAAATTTACTTCCAGAGCTCAACGTTTCAGCTCAGTTGTGACTTTAACTGCTGCTAATGGCACTGTATGCTTGGGTCTACTGTGCTTATACTAATACGGATATATTATTTAATACTATAACCAGACCTGATGTAGTAACATAATGACACTCGCTCTTTCCTTGTGTTTTTTCAGTAATCTTTTAGCAATTAACAGATTTCCCATGTTTAGTTTGAACATCACAGGCTGTAGTGTCAGAAAATATGTTAAAGAATTTCAAATGACAGTTTTTTTTGCCTATTTCTAAAGGCTGAAATATTAGTTAAAACATGTGTATTCATTAGTAAAAATGTCTCAGTGCTCGATTGTGTAGCTGACCACAGATTACAGCAGCTGTTGAAATCAGTGGATGATAATTAATTAAATGAATGCAGTTAACCTCCCACTGATTAAGATAATGAACCCATGAATAAAAAAGCTAGTCTGTTTCTGTTTTATAGACTTAATTATCGTAACTGCACATTTATTGCCCAAGTGTTCAGCCTCAGTTACTCTCTCCAAATCACGGCTCTGTTGTCACTGCTTTTCACTCTCACTGCTCTTTTTTTGGGATGAATTGGGCCTTTTATCATCTTCTAGGTGAAGTGTGTTCTGTATAACAAATGATTCATGAGTCTCAAAGGCTGGGTATGTGATTCTAATCCAGTACACTTTTTGTCAAATGTAGTGAGCACATCTCCACATGGTCCGCTAGCTTTCTGCTCTTTGTGTGAGCCTGAAAAGAATCCAGTGTTTGTACGCATCTCTGGCTCTGTAAATGGGGAAACAAAGTGGATCAGACTGAGCCACACAACACTAACTTGTTATTCCAGCCAGGATTTGTGTCAGATAACGTTAAATGACTTGCCCACAGACATTCAGCTTACTTTCTAGTTTGCCAGTATGCTGTTGATGTGATGTTAGCTGTAGTAGCAGGAGAGTTGTAGTGTAGTATTGCCGTCTGGAGCCGGTGTGCCGGCTCAGGAAAACCATCTCGTCCTCTCTGCGTGTTACGGCAGCGTGTCCAGGCCGACAACAAAAATAGACAGTGAAAAGGATTTCATACTTATATGGACATCATTCCAGTATCTGTTTCAGTTTAAAAGCTCTCTGGCGTTTCTGTGGACAGAATCCATTTATTTTTTAAACAAGGCTTTTATTGTATTGTATTTATCAAAGTAGAAAGATAGTATTGGTGCCACAGCAGAAACGCTCTCCATGTAGACGCCACAGTCATGTGAGCTGCAGCAGTTCAACGAGGGAACCGTCATGCAATGCTCACGCGGGCAGTGTGTCCGAGCTGTAACTGCAGCAACTTTGCTAGACCACAACACAGTCAACGTTGGTTACATTACTGGCTGTGTCGTTGTTCGCTTGGTGTTGGATTTCTCCAGAATCACATACCCCACCTTTAAACTCTGAGATACTAACAGGATGTGGCCTATGCATTGAAAATTCTTAACATTTAGAAGGATACCTTGACATTTTGACCTTTTTTAGAATATTCCTTCTGTCGTCAAATTGCTGGCTTTGAAGAAGAAACTGAGTGATACAGCTGGCCTTCAATTAAATCACATTATACAATGAATAATGGAATGATTCTTGGTTGTGCCGCCTTGCAAACCAAACAAGAGTAAAGAGTAAGAAAACTGACCTTCTATAGGAACAACATACAGAATTTAAGATCTAGACAATCACATAAATACTCTCCACACGCAAATTCATCATAACTGCAGACACAGATACAAAAATAGGTATAATTAGCTCTTTTTTTTACATTTTGACATTTCACAGTAGGAAAAGCACATTTTCCCTTGTTTACCTCCCACCAACCCACTCCAACACCACTCTCTATATCTAAAATTGCCTTTTTTTAACAGTATTTTTCAACCTTCTACATATTATAGCCATTCCTCTTGGCTGTGGCCATTTGTCTGTGTTACACAAATGTAATCCTAATCATCCAGACTGTTTCACATTTTAAACAATTTATCATTTCTCAATCAATGCACCTGGAGGCCTGCTGTCCAGTTTTTTAGTTCTTTTAGTTGTCACAATGTGCTTTAAAAACATGCTCATCCAGAGGTCTGATTTAATGCTGACTAATGGTCATATTTGGCCTTTTAACCTGATATAGCATCAAGCAGTATAACCTTTTGTGTTTCGTTCAGTATACACCTTTACATATGACATAGAGTGAAGGCTGTCACTCCACATTTAGACCTAATGTCACTGCACACAAATACATTCAGCATCTACTCACAGTAATAATAAATCATCAAAATGTCAAGGTATGCCTTTAAGCAGTGGTATGAATCTGGTGTTAATGGCTTTGCTTCCTCCCCTCTTCCTTCTTGCTCTCCCTCCTCCTTGGCATGCCTCCCCCTCGCTCCCACCCTCCTGCCTCCCCTTCCGCAGCTCAACCTTATTCACAGCGAGGTCAGTAACTTGGCTGGCTTTGACGTGGAGGGGGTCATCAACCCCACCAATGCTGAACTTGAACTTAAAGATGATCTAGGTGAGCTCCCCCACCCTGCCCATCCTCTCTGGTCCCAGTGAGGTTTGAGATTTAAAATCCTTGAATGTTCGACAGGTTGACCGCTTCTCCTAAATGAAATTACCAGTGAATTAAGAACTCTAAAAGTAAGGTTTCAGACTTCTCGACTGGTTTCTTCCACCAGGTGTGTTTATTCACACTGTGACTGATCAACATGATTGATGTCATGATAATTTAGGATTTATTAATCTATGGAGATCAGCTTCCTCGTGTAGCAGGAAATAAAAAATCGGTGAAAATCTGTTTAAAACTGATATTTCTGGGGAAAATTTTGGGCAAAAACATATTTTAGTTTTTAATTTTAACCTTCTAAACATCTTCGTAAAACAAATTACTGTATTAAAGCTCAGTCACATTACCTCAATATTACAGTAAGCCCTAGTGAAAGACGCAGCCATTCTCCAAGTACTGACTCATTTTTGCATGTGCTTCAGTGAAATCATAGTTAGCACTGGTTACAAAAAAGGTAGTGTGCTGTTTGATCGGCCTTTGACGACGTCTCCTGACCTGGAAAGCGTCTGCTGTAGCCAACTTTCCTCAGCAGAAGTGCTCGTTGGTGACGGTTGCTTAGCTCTCACGAAATAAAAGGATTTGTGGAAGGTGTTGCTCGTAGTGGGAAGACTGGTGAAGATCCTAACTTTGATCCTCAAGGATGTGACCTTGCTTTTTTTGTATTTAAGATGAAGAGCAGACGGATTTTTCTCTATAAATAAAATACAATTCCCATTAGCAAGACTGAATGAAATGAACTTCTGTGGAAACGTTCAAGGATTTTATCAAAGCTCCTCAGAGCAGTGATCCTGCTTGCTCTTTCCCATCGTGTAGATGTGTTGAGTTCATTCCAGGTTGTCCTCCTTTCAGATGGCTGCCAGACCTTTTTATAAAGCTTAATGATCACTATTTCAGGACAATTATTGGAATGAAATAGAGCACCATTTTTACAGAAGAAAAACTAACAGGAACCTCCTCTGTTAGTTGCTCACTGCAGCCTGACTGCAAGGTTGGTGGCCTGGAGTGTGATCATAAAATGCTTTGCTCATTTCAATGAGCCAAGAAATCAGGACAACACAATTAGTCAGAAATCAGATTCATAAAATGTTTGCTTGACCCCCATTTAAAAACTTCAAATTAGAGTATTTTAAAATGCACTCGAGCATGCGATCTTGTGTATTGATGAGTGACGAGTTAAGTAAATCTGACTTCATGTGCAGTCCTGCTTCCTAATTACATAATGTGACCCACCGTGTCCTCAGTTGCTTCTTTGTTTTCTGTGATGTCCTCAGCCAGTAAGGAGCTTGCTCACCTCTCTGTCTCTTTTCTTCCTGTTCTTCTCTTTCATTTAATTTTTTCTACTTTTTTTTTTTGTCCCATCTTGTTGCTCCTGATCACCCTCACTGTGTTTTTACCACCATGTTGTTTGCCTGTTGTTTGTCATTGTTGTCATCTGTAGTTGCAAGTTGTCCAAGCCGACATTTCCATCGTGGAGAGTGACGCTGTCATTCACCCGACCAGCTCCTCCCTCTATACAGGTGGTGAAGTAGGTAAAGGAACCATTGACACCACGGAGACCGCGAGTGCCTGTCTGCTCGCTCTCTCTCTCTTTCTCTCTCTGCATATTCCAGATAGTCTGCACTGCGGTCTGTGGATGAACATCACAGCAGCAGCACAGGTTTTATTCTGCATTGTTATTTAGCCAGGGTTCTGCACTGAAGAAAACCTTTTCAACCCACAACCCAACCTCCTGCTGTTCTTACTGTAAATGCTTCACTATAGTATTTATGTAATTTGGTGAAACATTGACTGAACTATTATCGTATTATGAGTGAAAATTAACTTGCAGAGGCTTGAAATGTGCAAGCAGGGACTATTTTATGTATGCAATTAAGTGCTTGTGGGAAACTCCAGTTTCCAAGATTTGAGAGTCAGCTGCCAAAGAGAGTTGCAGTCACACGCTATGTTTTCAATAAACCTAACCCAGAAGACAAACCCAATGTGGACTGAAAAGGATCATTTGAATTTGGCAGCTTACTGCGTTCAAAAAAGGCTGTTGGTTGGCAGCTGACTTTTCTCAGATATCAGAGATTCCTGCGTTTTTATGCACCGAAAAGGATTTTTTTGAAACATTTTTACAGAATTATAAACCGCTGGGGTGTGTTTTTGTGTTTCAGAAGCCTTCAAACTCATGGATACTTAAACAGGTCATTCTGGATTGTACTTCATTGTTGACACACTGTACCTGAAACACACCCTCACCAATGCAACCCCCTTGAATTCCTTTAAGTCTTGAATCTTCGTACCAATAAGTAATCTTGCCCTTGAGACAGACCCATGCATTAACTACTACATAGTTCTTATCTGATTTTCCCAAAAACATCAGTAAACGTTTCACTGTCTCAAGTCTTTGCAAGTTTATGCTCACATCATACAGGCACTAGCTAGCCTGCAGAAGGAATATAGTTACTGCTCTATTCACTGATGATGCACAGGTGCTTCACCTACAGCATATGGTTCTTCAGTATGTTACCCTCATCAAATATCCAAGGGCTGTTAGTCATGCAGAAGATGCAGTGTTCACAGAGTGCATCATGTAATGCATACACAACCACATATTTCTGTCAGTTTAATCCTGAAACCATGCTGCTGCTCGTCGATGCTTTGTTCCATGCGGCTGAAATGTGGGCAGTCTGGGACTTACTCCATATCTTGTGACCTCTGCCCCCTCAACTGTGCTGTCAGTTCAGCTGGTTAGAAAGAGAATTCTCAGAGTGTTTGAGTGCTGATCACTTGTTATGTGAATTCACGAGTGAATGAATGTTTAACTATTTAACTGTTAATGACTACACAACAGGCTGTTAAAGTACAAAGATTATACTTATACTTGCTTATATATACCGCTTGCTCGTATTGGCTGTTAAATAATTTGGAGAGCTTTTTCCACTAACTAAGAGGCTGACATTAACCTTATTGTATTTTTCTCCCCTGCCTGTTTTTAATGTAGTTGCAGCCAGAACATTAATTTCTCTGGCTCTGGTAGATTTGAATCTCTTCTCTGGTTTCCTTTTGTGGCTTCTCTCTTTAACTCTGAGTAAATCTAAAGTAGTGGGATCAATGCAAAATGACTTCCTTTAGCCATCAAAATAGGAAACAAACAGTTGAATTGGTTTTCGCAATGGCCTCATAACCTCTTGTTGTGTATTTCTCCTCTTCAGAATTAGAACTTAGATTGCTTCCTGGACTTGAAATTGTGTGTTCAAACGTCAACAGAGCTTTAACATTTTCATTTATAACATGCTGCTAGCTGTTTTTCCTTTTTTTAAAGAAACTCTCAACTGTGTAATTTGCAAGTGAAAGAAAATACCCTCAGTGCACTGCAAATAAGCCAGTGTGTGAGGACAGAGGGAAGTAATTAGAGACAGGGGCTTTAATACATTAGTTAAACTGACTCAGAATGAGTCATTTGGAAAATAGCAGTTTTGAAACTTCATTTGTGAGACCTTTCCTTGTGTTTCACAAATAAAGTAACAGACTCAGTTTTCTGCTTGAGAGCTCAGAGATCCAGAGAGAAGCCCGGTGAAATGATTGACAGCATCGTTGTCTGCCTGCCTACCTGTCCGTCTGTCTCCGTGTCTGCCTGCTCGCCTGTCTGTCTGCATGACATCACCTCTCCTCTTTCCTGCTCTCTGTCTCTAGCAGCACCATGTGAGGATGTAATCACTCCTCTGTCTCATTTACAGGCTCTGCCCTGGAAAAGAAGGGAGGGAAGGAGTTCACTGAAGCGCTGCAGGAGCTGAAGAAGAAAAATGGCCCTCTGGAGGTGGCTGGAGGTAAGTGCGCACAGAAGGAAATGTCAGGATTTGCCTAGCAGTACCTGCTGCTTACTTTATAAGCAGAGGTTGACAGCTCTGCCTGAGGAGCCTGAAGGTATGGCAAAGTTTGGATTCAACCTCGATCAAGGTTCTGCTGTCGTGGCTTAAAATGAGATGTTACAAAATTCAGACAGAACATTTATTTTACCAGCCTGTATTCAACAAGCAAATGTTATTGGTTATGTTGTTTTGGCTTAAGTCCATGCAATAATAGGCCTGAAAGTATTTTCCAAAATTAATCTCTCAGAGACAGAATGTGTTGTGCTCATTATTTAAATGATGTGCAGTGGATAGTTTTTTCCCCACAACTTTATTCAACAAAAAATGCAGGAGAACTGACTATAAATGGTATATAAATATTAAAAATGAAGTAAAAGAAAATTAATCCAGTTTTCAATTTCAGTGAGAAACAAACATTGTAGTTGATAATATTGACAAATAAATGAATAAGGTTAGACATTAGAAAAGTTTGGGAGTCATGTTTTGGACATATTGGGTCCGATTGTGGCTGTTGATTGCTGTCAGATACAGATAGTTGGCAAAGAGTAAAGATTTGTACTCATTGTGAACTTGTTTATGAAGTAAAAGCTGTTTTTTTTTAAATTGGTGTAGCAAGACAAAATACAGATGATTAAACAGCCACAGACACAAAAGAAACAATGAAAAATAAGACAGACAGTAGAAGCATGCCGCTTGGATAAGACTCTTTTAAGGGGTGTCACTTTCTAAGTGGTATGACTTTGCCATCCTGCATAGTAACAGGTGCAGTTGTGCTATCAAACATGTTTATTACTGGTTTTTGCCTCAGCAACACTGACGTTTCATGACTTTCTTCCAATGTCACCATTGAAGGGGTTAAAAGTGCATATTGATCTACCACTCCAGCACCACCCAGCTCCTATGACAGTGATGTCAGCGTGTCCCGTAAATCTCTCTTCACCTACACACACACACCAAGTTAAACAGGGCTGGGTCCTTTTGGCGTCAGGACACTGCAGCAAGGATTAGCCCTTTGGACATGAACACAGAGATTTGACCACTATTTTCTTCCTTTTTAAAGGCAAAATGTTGCCAGAGTTTCCTTTTTTATTATTGAACTTTTTAGAGAAACTTGTCATGAAAATGATCAAAGCCATTTAGTATTGGCACATAATATCGGTTCTTTGCTACTTTAGTCTTAAACTACAGACATCAGTCTTCAGAGAGCTATATTGTTTGAGCCCTTACAGATTATTTTATCTTTCAGTCCATTTGTCTCCACTGACTCTTTCTGTCCGTCTTATTCTTTCTCCAGCTGTCTCTCTCATTATTCATCACTCACACTCACTTTTTCTAACACTCCCCACCTTCACCACTGCTCTCTCTCTCACACTGAGCCAAGTTAGCTCAGCATCATAATCCCGGTCTGTGTGGAGCTCATAAATAGATTACCAGGTGACTGAACACCAAGCCAGCAGAGGCTGTCTGCGGGATTCCTAGGGATCTGGATCAGCCAAACGGTCATCCTGACCAGACCTGGTTCAGAACAGCCATCAAAACAAGTTCTTCAGGATGTTTAAAATACTTGTAAAACGTATCTCCTCATCTGGATTTTGCGAGCAAATGTCCCAAATTCAAGGCCAGAAAAATAAGGAGTTATTAACCACATTATTCAAGCGGAAGTTGAGTTTAATCCAAAAACAGGTAGTTTTTAAGTTTGAGTATTTTGTAATACATGGTTCAGTGTGTGAGTGATCTGCTGCATAGATACATACAGTATATCATAATAATAAAAACTGTTAGATGACAATGGGAGCTGTTGGTTAAAGAGGAAGCAATAAGTTAAAGAGGATCACTGGGAAACGGAAGATGATAGGTTGCTGTAAATACTCAATCGTACATTATGACATGTATTGGGAAACAGGGAAAAAACCGGATGAACAAAAAGGCAATCCAGACCCTCCAGAAAAAAGAACGAGGAAGGAATATTTTAAAAAGCCAATGGCCAACAAAGAGCAGCATTCGTTTGTGTTTATTCTGCTGTGAGTTTACCAACTGTAATCAGTGGCATCTGCCTGGTAACATAAATTAAACACTCCCATAATGATTCAAGCATGGCAATTAAAATGATGTGTTTTTAAAAAATCAAAAAGAGTGAATAATAACTTGTTGACTATATTACTTGGCAGTGATTCATTTAAGCCCCTGTTACAGTTAACGTAAATGTGCAATCAATTCTTAGGGCTGCAAAAATCAGTTACTCGAGTTAAGTAATCTACTATTCTGATTCTGAATTAATCCGTAAAGCAATTTTTAAAGCAAAAGTGCCAAACATTCCCCAGTTCCCTTCTTTTGTGTGGATTTGATGCTGTTCTGTGAAAATAAATTCAGTATCTTTGGATTTTGGACTATTTGTTGAAGTAAACAGGCAATTTGAACTGTGATCGACATTTTTTACTGTTTTTTGGCAGACCAAACGATTCATTCATTATTTGCTTCTCATTAGGCGGTGCATGGTTATATAATGATGAATGATGTGACACAGCTAAGGCATGATAATTGCTTCCTTATTTGTGGATTCTGTGATCCTTCAAAGGTCAGCACCGTCGGTATGGTTTAGAAATTGATCAGTGGTGCAAACCGGTGTACCAGAGTTGAGCTGAACATGAAAGCTTAGTGCAGATTTACTTTCCCTCCATGAACAGGACCCACTGTACACAATGCAGGTGGGAATTCCTGTTCTGTAACCTGCCTGCCAAAGTACAGTTATTAGAGACTTTGCCCACGATGTGTGTTTTGCTCTTCTAAATGTAGAGTACTGCAATGTTGCAATTAAAATACAGTGTTGAGGTGGGAATTGGGTGAAGTAAACACAGCTTTGCAGTACTAGTCCAGAACATTGTTTCCTCAGCAATGTTCTTTTTGCAACTCCTTTGCTGATTGATAATTGGCTGATTGTGTGTCGCACAGCTGCGTCATCTGTCCATCGCCACGCTTCTTTTATACATCACGGGTGCTGAAAAGAATCGCTCATAGCTTCCCGGCAAGCAATTGAGACATTGTTCAAGATGGTGCTCTGAGATCAATGTCCAGGCAGGAGGATGAAGGAGGCTGCACAAAAGAAAGAAAGGAGAAGAGCCAACTGTTGCACTGACATGTTCCTTCATTATTATGACCACATACACTGTAGTTTATTTTAAGTCAATCCCACATAGCCCACTCATTCCACCTCCTGCTGCAACAAATACTCGCTAATGGAACTAGATAAATTAACCAGGCAGGTATATCGGGCTCGTCCTCCAGAGAGCACTGACAGGCGTATTTTTCATGTGTAAATATTCTGCTCAGTATGCATTTCACAAAGGATCCCTTTTTTTCAAACCTACTACAAGCAGTTTCTAAGTTGTTATGAAACAGTGTCAGCAATACTGAGAGCAGGGTAGAGAGGTCCAAGTATTAAGCAACTCATTGTTGCTTTTGTTATGTTTTTTTTTTCTTATTGTAATTTATTGACAGCAAGGCCACCCACAGAAACTCAAACTACAACAGAAATGTTGCAGTGCTGTCCACATAGTTTGATTGACAGGTGATCTCCAGATGAGCTATGCAAAAACATCACCACATACTTTTCCTCCCTTCCCAAACCATAAAACTAGTTGACCTTTGCAGGCAGTCATGAAACCAGTAATCATCATCATCCGCACACTTTACCTCACAACCCGATCACACATTGCAGTGTGACTCTCGCTCTGCTGTGTGAAGTCTCTCTATCCTCTCTGTGTGCCATCTGGAAATCAGCTCGTCCTCAGCTTTGACTCCGGTCCAGTCACACGTTCGCTGTGGGCTAATAAAATCTGACTGGAGGCTTTCTCACTTCACAGAGTCAGGGGCTTTGGCTGAGTTACACTGTCTACAGCTGCTAGTTTGACTATTCTGTTCTCTTGTCTTCTCTTCCCTGTTCTTCCTCTTCTCCTTTTCTTTTCACCTCTCCAGTCTGTCTGGAGAAGTGATTTCTCCGGCCCACCTTACTGTAACACCCTGGCCAAACCATTTTAACCTCAGGGAGATTAGCTACATACATTTTCCACAAAGCAAAGTGTTATTTTAGTATTTCAGGCTTCCAAACTCAACTTTTGAGTTCTGGCAAAACTGATTAATGAAGCTGAGCTTGACTGTAGACAATAGATGTGACATGAGGAAATCCAGGCGAACAAGTTCATATGTTCATAAGTTCAATATTACAGCTGGGTAACAGTGGCTTTTTAATGGCTGTTGTTATTTAAGTTAGGGCTGAAGCTATTAGTTGACTGTTTCTTTTTGACGCTAAAAATGCCAAACATTCACCAGTTTGGACTTTTTGAACTGCAATGATTTGCTTTATATCATTGTAAAGGGAATGTCTTTTCAGTTTGGACCATTGATCAATCATTCATTTCAGATCAAATTGGATTTCTCATATATCCTAAAAGTATTGAGATTTTTATTTTTTAGAAATGTGCAAACAAGAGAGTTTCCTTTCTGCTCCCTCTACTACTCTGCTTTGTCCCCGTCTTTATTTCCTCTTCCTGTCTCACTGTGTTAACCGTTCTTCATCCCCTCTCCTCTCCATCCCTCAGCCGTGTTGACCTCCGGCTACGGCCTGCCTGCTAAGTACGTCATCCACTGTAACAGTCCGGGCTGGGGTTCCGACAAGTGCGAGGAGTTGCTGGACAAGACGGTGAAGAACTGCCTGGCTCTGGCCGACGAGAAGAAACTCAAGTCTGTGGCTTTCCCCTCCATTGGTAGCGGAAGGTAAGAAAACACACTCAGAAAGGAACACAGCTGAGAAACGACACATCGTGCAATCCCTTATATTGCTGTTTCTTCATTAACAACGGCACTGCCATACATCCTGCAATTCACTGTACATCAACTTGAGGGTTTTTTCACTCTGGCTTTCTTTTAGTCCAAAACTGGAAGTCATTTGCCAAAAAAGTGTGTCCAGACCAAGAAACTGTACCTGACTGGAAGAAATGTCTTTTCTCACGTCTTCATAGCATCATGAGTGGCATTCAGCAATGCATTGTCAGCAATAAAATGCAGTGCTCATGTGTCTCTGCCAGCTCGTACACTTTTTTTTTTTTCTTCTTTGTGTAAGTCCAAACGGGAGTTGACATGGTTTCCTGGCAACAGTGGTAAACACCTCCACTTTGATCTAGAGAGATTTACACAAACATACCATGTATTTGGAACAACAGTAGGAAAGCGTGGGAGCAGCAGAGGAGGTTACAGCACTGACCTTTTTGGCTCGTGAAACATCTACTTGTGAACCCTGGTCACAGGTTTAATGCTGTATGTTAATAAATTGCAGCATTTCAACCAAAAAAAATGGAAAAAATTTAGAGAAAAGTCTCACAAACTAAATTTAAAAAATGTTTAACTCTGGGGTCAGTCGGCCCACCACTTTTGTCCAGACATATCTCAACAACTATTGGATGGACTGACTTCACTTAACTCTGGTGATCTTCATATAGCGCCCCCATCAGGTCAAATTTATTGTTTTGTCCAATACTTTGGTTTATGACCTAATACCTGCTAATTCTAACTAATTAGTAAATGTTACCATGCTAAAACGCTAAACTAAGATGGTGAGCATGGTAAACATTACACCTGCTTAACATCAGTGTGTTAGCATTGTGTTAGCATTTAGCTCAAAGCACAGCTGGGCCCCAGTACCGCCTCACAGAGCTGCTAGCATGGCTGTAAACTCTTGGACTTGTTTTTTTATTTGCACACCGGTTTCATATTTCACTGGAGACCCCTCAGATTTAACTTGCGAATCATGGTTGGGTCCCGACCCACAGGTTGGAAACCGCTGGATGATGAGGGGTCAGTCAAAGTCAGGTTCAGACTCAAACAAACAGCTTTAGTGGTGCGCAAAGTTTCACACTCCTTTTAAGAAAGATAAGAAAGATTTGAGCCTCGGATGAAAGGAGTAAAGAAGAAGTTAGTTAGATGTTCTTTGTGTATTTTAAGTGTTACCATTGGAGTGAGACTAGAAGTCTCAAAAATATGTATGCTGACTTCTAACATAATGAATGCCACAGTCACGGTCAAGTAAACAGAAAATGACTCTCCAGCCTTTGACCACATTTCACTAAGTGTGTGTTCTTTTCTGTCAGGAATGGTTTCCCGAAGCAGACGGCGGCACAGCTGATCCTCAAGGCCATCTCCAGCTACTTTGTGGCCACCATGTCTTCCACCATCAAGACCGTCTACTTTGTGCTGTTCGACAGTGAGAGCATCGGGATCTATGTGCAGGAAATGGCCAAGCTGGAGACAAGCTAAGAGTTTGGAGGATTTGCCTCCTTGTCCCTTTTTCTCCACTCTGTTTTTTTCTTTCCTGCGAGGAAATAGGAAGGTGTTTATTAGTGATTTGTTAAATATGAAGAGAAGAAGAAAAAGAAGATTCTTTCTATAGGCCGGGAACTTGTTTTTGCATTATGTTTGTATTTTTTCCTTTTTATTGTTTTTAATTTCCTATTTACTTGTTCACCTCTGGTGTTTAAATGTAAAAGTGCACTGTTCATTCTGCGGTCTTTTAATACAAACGGTGCCAGACAAAACAGATTAAGCAAGTGAAAGACTCACTTTAAGATTTAATTTTCATGGTATATACGGTAAAAGATGTTATGAGAGATACACCTCAATTACCAGGCTTCCAGAGAAGTCCGATGAATACGGGTTAATGCATGTAATGGCAGTAAAGATAGTAAAAACAGCCATTCTCTTTATTTTGATCTCAAAAACACAAGACACTTAATTCAGTGTATTTTTTGGTATCAATTCTGCGTTTTGGAACATCTCTGTTCTTAATAGTACTGTATAATGAAATGGAAAGTATTGAGAAAAAGTTCAGTTTGCTCTACTTTGGTCTTCAGGAGACTAAAAGAACTATGGAAGGAGTTTTTGTTTTTGTGTTGTGTGTTGCAAATTCCTGTGTTTGCCTTTGTTTAAACAGGCAGGTTTCCTTGTGTGCTGCAGAGACCTTGAATTTCCAAAAAAGAAACGAAATCAGTTGAAGAAAAATTGTCATGTTAATGCCCATATATTATATACTCATCCTGTTACTAATGTCACAGGTTTATACTGTAAACAAAACAGCTGTCGTTTGTCATTTACAGTAAAAAAAATAAATAAATGATTACATAAAATGGTAGAATTGGAGATTTGAGGTTTTTGCAGGGCACGAATGGTTTATATTGTGTGTTCCTATGACTGTTTATATAGATGGAGTATTTGTGAAATGTTATAGTAAAATATTGGACTGTAACACAGATTTTTATTTTCTATTTTAATTTTCACATTGATTCTAAAAGGTGCAGGTGATCTGGAAGCAAAAAAAAATATTGTAAGAGATTGTTTTTTTTTTGTGTGTTTTGTCTTTGTTAAACCATAAAACAAGTGTACGCATTTTTTGCTGGAAGTAGAGGCTCTCTGCTGTTGCTTTTGGTTTGCTCTTTCATTCAGCCGCCACTAGATGGCTCCCTGTAATCAAGAATTGGATTTTCATCTCAGCCATTTTCTGTGCAGCAGCAGGCCTCTTCACACAGACGCTGATCGATTTGAGTTGGATTTGAATTGGGATTGACGGACGTATATATAAAGGAACCCGACTGCTCTGCTGCATTTGGACTTTTCAAAAGCCTAACTTTCTTATGAAAAAAAAAAAATGTTAAATGCTTTCTAAAGAATTGCTACAATTGATGATTCTACAAAAGGTCTGTACACACTCCGGTAATAAAATACCTTTAAAAACATCAATTTGATCCTCTCGACATTATGAGATCATTTTATGTTTCATGCTGTTCTTCAGGATGCTGCCAGGAACTGTGGGCCTCATAAGATTAAAAAGGAGTGTGTGTGTGTATGAAGTTTAATTGTAAGACAAACCTTCACTGTCCCCCATGGAAACAAGTGTGTGTGTCTTTTAATGTAATAACAGTCCATCTCTGCTGTATTAAAGTAAGCATAATTTGAAGTGTTGCAGAACAAATGGCAGAAGGATGTCATGCTGCATTTATTTGATTTGACTGAAAGCCACACTCAAAGCCTCAGGAACCCAAGCTCAACCTCCAGCTCCAGCTCTACAAGCATGTGTGTGTCTCTGTACTGTACTTACGAGGACCAAATTGTCTCACAATAAGAAAAGAAGATTATCAGTGTGAGGACATTATGATTAGCTAAAGTTAAAGTTGAGTATGGAGGCTTAAAGGAGCTTTACGTATCTTATTGTTTGGGATGAGAATGCCATTGTTGCTCAACTTTTAACTTCCCCCAGTGATGAAATTTCTGATACCAACTATTTTTTTTAATCTATAATCTGTTTTGCATACAGCCTCTCAACACTAGATCCTCATTCTGCAAACATGCAAACTCCAGGCAGGCCTCTCAAACCCTAACCCTAACGACAAAGACAAACATTTCTACACCAAAAATATTCAACAGTATTAGAACAAAAAGCTGGTGGTGGAGCTTCAGCAGACGTTATAACTGTTTCCTGCAGATGTGAACCAATGTAATTGTGCAATGATAATGCATATTTGTATATTCCAAACATAGTGGGCTCTTGTGTTGGTACGAATAATGACTGTTCTTGTGCAAAGTGACTGACATGGGAGATGTGGTTCACATCCATTCTCTTATTAACAGTCAATGTTAGCTTCTTTTAAACTTTTAAACAGTGATAGCTTCTTTTAAAGACCATCTTTGTCAAATCTTAATAAAGCAACAACTGGTGTTTTGGCCACTCGGGTGCAGCGTAAATAAGCTGTAAACAAAACATTGGCATATTATCACTTTTAAAGTTGGTATGGCAAACTTGTGTTAGCAGACAGAGTTGATTACTTACACATTTATCAGTCACTGAGCAACATTAGCATTTTTTGGAGTTGTGTTTCTGGAGACCTGGCAACTGTAAGTCAAATATTCACTCTCCTTTTAGCTCTACTTTTGGTCTCCACCAAAAATCTTCAGCTGCTAAATGCTTATCTATGTTCACCAGCTAGTCTCTAACTTTGTATTTTTGTCATTTGATGCTGGGTAGGTGGCATACAGTGGGTTTATCAGAGCTTTTAAACTTAAAAGCACCACTACTATGGCTGGAAATTGTGTTAATTATGTTGATTTTCTCGGCTGGAAAACCAAAACAACGAGCTAAAGAACACTAAACTTACTGTAGAGTCGTTGGGTTTGTCACTGCAAGAGACCCATTTGATAGAATAATAGTCTATATCTATAGTCTATATGTGATACATTGTTAATATAGAATTATTGATTATGGCCGCTTTAATCAAATCATTTTATTTACCTAAACGTAGAAGAGCTGGGCTTGTTCGTATTCTTCCTTTTATCAGAAAATGTCTAATAAAGAAGTTTTGTATCATACATATGGACTAATACAACAATCAAGATTCAGTATGAACTTACCAATTTGTTGCAGTTCTTTAGCCACTCTTTGAAGGACCAATCCATATACTTTTGAGTCATTTCCCAGTCACAATTAAAACATCAGCCAGGGTTGTAAACAAACCTTGGAAAATATTAATACCGGATATGTTGTTGTCTAATTCAAGTCGCTCTCTCTTGTTCCTAGAGTTTCACACTAGAAGGATGTCTTCACATTTATCTGCTTATAGAGGAAAGTTTCTCTGTGGTCGATGAAAATCTGATTAAGGGGCGGGGCCTACAAGCATGATTTGTGACATCACAAATAGTTAGAGAGCCAATCCTGGTCTGGAGGATCTTTATAGATAGCAATCAACGTCGGAATGATATCAGAATCTAAACCTGTGTTTTTAATGTCGGTGTTGGGGTGGCCCTTTTGTTTCCGTTTAGATCACGGATTGGTCCTTTAAAGGTAGGGTTATCAACTGTTTAATTCTGGTTAATCTAACGGTTATTATAATTTTGGTCATTATTTCTCTCGGTTAGGACAATTTGAACTCATCAAAGTTGATGCAGAGGGAACACTGCGACATTACAAAGTCAGACGATCAGCTTACAGGCCAGAAACGTCCAGATGATCTAAACCACTTTATCTGAAGGTACGACCAACCTCGTGAAATGGTGTTAATAGTTCAGTAGGGCCAGTAAATACGTAGGCTAACCCACAACTTTGTTCACAACCTGTCTGATCATCTGACTGCTCGTGTTTTTTGCCCTGTTGGACTTCTTGATGTGGTGACTTTGACATGTTCCCAGACCTCAGTAATAATCTTGGTGATTACACAGTTATTATCATCAATAGAAATGAAGACCAAAACTGCAACAAACACACCCAAATTATTCTACAGTGGAGTTATCAAACAAATGTAGGGTTTAATAAAGTACATATATAGAAGGTACAAATGTACCAGGTTCAGCCGCTTTGCAGGCGGTGGAGTGCCGGCCTTTTTGTGGGACAGAACTTAGGCCTTAGTCCTGTCCTCGGGCTACATGCTGGCAGGGCACAAACAAGACCACGGAGTCAGATGGGGGTCAGTTTCCCAGCCATCCAGGGAGGCCGGGACCTGAGACCTCCTCTGAGGGCGCCCATCTGACGCCTAATCCCCAGGAAATACAGGCAGGTTTCACCCCCCTTCAACCCCTCCCATCTCTTTCCCTCCACCCCACCATCCATCCCTCCATCCCTCCCTGCTTCTCCTCGGAGGCAGAAAAGCCCCGTAAATTCAAAGCATCTGTACGGGCAAGGGCCAATCCGAGGGCCGCCTTTCCCAGAGCCCGCGCAGATGAAATTTTATTCTTTGCACGAAAAAATTACAGGGGGAGGGGGAGAAAAAACAGAAAATAAAGTAAAGCAAACAGTGGGGAAAGATCAAGGAGGAGAGGAGATGAGGGGTAAGGAGCTGGTCATCAGAGATTTGCCCTGCTTTCCAATGTGTTCATAAGAAGAAAGTAATATTATGTTTTTTATGGTTGAGAGTCCTGACTGGAGCCCGATAACAACAACAGTCTGCTTGCAACTGCTACTGATTTCGGACAATTACTGACGGTTGGCATTTAGCTCGCCGTCCAACGTGGAAGAGACGTAGCAGTTGTAGGAGATTATGTGGGTCAAAGAAAAGGCCAACGATCCTTATGTTATTTCAAAACTTGTATCACTATCAGTATTTGAGAAAAGTGCCGTCAAAAAGTATTAGAGTGACTGCATTGCAATACACAGCTGTAATTGCATCATATACAAATACCTTTATTTTAGTTAAACGCAAAGTGCTTTGATTTCAAGCTGTTAATTACCCAGGTTGAAGTGGCACAAATTGTTTTTTAAAAGAGATGGGGCCAAGAAGATAAAAGTAAAATAAAACCCAACCCAATGACAAAAAAAATACAATCCAAACAACATTAACAGGACATGAAAAACTTAAATACATAATACAGTATAGAGATTATCCTGCTAAAGTGTTCATACTGGTACCTCAATTCTCAAGTAACCATCCAAATACATAAGAAATAAAAAAAATAGACAATCAAGAATGCTTATTTTGTAAAATTACCTCATCAAGAACAAGTCATTTTGAACATTTAAGCTAAAGTGAAACCAAATGTATTGATATTCACAGTGTGTTGTTTTTGCAGTTAATACAATGAAATCAACTCATATTTTACAGTTTTGCATTCTTACTTTTTAACCTTCACAGACACAGTGAAATGTTTTCTCAAAAGTAATATTTATTTTTATGCTTTCCAAGGTCTTCCTGGTACTGTTTCAACGCCATCCACAGATTGATTTAATGCTTTCCAGCTGTGAATAGCACCTCAATTTTCCTTTGTGCATTGCATTGTGCGTGGGATCAACAGAAAGTTATAAAGTCTCTTTTTAAGCGTGCTATAGACTCAAAACATGCTTAGAATCAGTATGTTATGTGGGATTGAGACACAGCTTATGTCTCCTTTAACCTCCACAGTGACCCCTGAGGGTGCATGGACCTCACTTTGGGAAACCAGTGCAGCAAACTACTCTTCATGTTAGAATAAGTTAATAAAAACCTCCTAAACCCCTCTGCGGTAAAACTGGTTTTCAAGTCGTGCAGGAAATAAAGCGTCTGTGAAGTATATTTGTGAGCGTGGTTGCCGTTTTGTGCTTCTTAGCGACGGTTAAACAGTAGCCTTTGGTTGTTGTTGGTCAGAGCCGGGTTTCATGTGGTCGAGGACAAAGTCACAATGAGAAACTCGATAATTTCCAAGAACTCGAGAGATGGATTTACACATGAGCAAAAAAATATTGGATTTGACCTCATGTGACCCAAATTGGGTATTTTGAGAAACCGTGGAATCTGGGCTAAGATTAGTCCTGACTCAACTAGAATGAGTCATTTATAGTGTTAGTTTTGATTTGTGCCGGATGAGCACGAGTTTACCAAATGAGGACAGTTCAGATTGTATCAAATGTTTAAACAGAGAAAACCTTATTGGCTAAAAAAGTTGTCTTTTCACCTCCTCTCTCTAATATTTCACTTTTCTCTTGTCTGCAGCAGCCTGCCAAAATGGCATTACCGGTGAATCTCATCTCAATCTAAACTAAAGCTACAGCGCTTTACCTTGGGTTTTCAGAAGCAGCGTAGTTATAGTAAAAAAGAAAGAAGGCTCTCTTATTCTCCATGCATTTTTATAACATTAGAAAAGGCTCCACAACATGTAGGGAATAAAATACATACTGCAACAGTAAATATGAATTTATTTACACTGGCAAGTCTCAGGTTATGAGAATCTGTCAACTGAATTTTTAAAAGTCGAAAGCAGTTGTGGTTCTTGGCCAATA